AATTCATTATTTTAAAAAATATAAATAAATAAAATAACAATAAATTAAGTGACTCAGACAAAATTACGTGTGCTATAACCACACTGGCTAACACGTTCCTAGTCCTTACCTAATCAATTTCTTCTGCACCACGCATTTTCTTCGGACTCTAATTTTTTCAAAATTCAGTGTTTGTTTTGCATCTCTACTTGTATCTTTAGGTAGAAGGAAAAGAAAAAAAATTATATTTTTTTAGTTTTAAATTTAAATAAATAAATAAACAAACAAAATAAAAAAAATTTTCTCTCTTCTCTCCTTTAATTTTTTGGATAATAAAATAAAATTTTTTTCCGTTTTCTTTTCTTTTCTTATCTTAATTTCCCTCCAACTAAATATACTGTACAAGTAACTGTAATTTGTAGTAAGTAAAACATAGCTTAGTGTGATTCCTAAAACATCTAATTAAAAAGAATTATTACGTGTGATTCATGTCTAAAAGTGGGTATTTTAAATAGTTAAAATTTTGAAATTTTATATTAAAAACTTTGAGTTTAAATTTTAAAATTGAGAAAGAGTAATTTTAAAATATGACTATTAAGCAAAAAATATGACTATTATATAATTTATCATTTAATATATCAAAAATAAAATTATGTGTGTTCCATTTGACTTTGTATTTGTTATAATATGTATTTGAATTCTCTTTAACCTATTAATACATATTTTTTTTTTGCATTAATTAATATTAAAAATAACGAAGGGTGGGAGGAAAAGTCTACAACCAAAAAAAAAAAAAAATTTCAAAGTTGATAAAATCATAACCAATAAATACGGTTGGATTAGGTTTTAGATCTGTTTGATTACAAATCAAATTAACTTAATTTTAAATGGTTTAACTTTTAATTGTTACATCTAAAAACTAAAATACTGATACCTAAGTGAGTACAACCAAAAAATTCAATCCAAAAATATTTTATATAAAATTTTTAATGGTTTCTAACTTTGTTTTAGGTTTTCTTACCATTTCTTATCTAATTATTTATTTACTTGGATAATTTTTAGTTTTTTAATGATTGAAATTAACAAAATAACAATTAATAAATTAAAAAATATTGAAAAATATAAAAATATTTTTTTAATGTTTTAGCTAAACCAAAATCGATCCAAATGATTATTTTTTAAAAAGCAATCAAAATTGATAAAACCTGTTTTACTTAGCTTGGTTATTAATTGTAAAAATTTAATAACAAAAAATTTAATTAACCAAAAATTTAAGTTTAGTTATAACCGAAACCGGTTGTGCCCACCCCTAATGGAAACCAAGATCAAATTTGGTTTCATCAAGTACCGCATTGTGCTAAAGATGCTTTAGAAGGTGATCTTCCATGTATTTTCTGATTAGGTTAACTCACCAATTTGATTATTAAGCTTGTAGTTTTGGACTAAAATAGTTATTAAACAATAAAATGTTAAAATGGTCTTTAAACTTAAAATTTTTGACAATAATTTAATCTTCTGTCAATTAAATACGGATATTCAGAAGTGGACTTATGTTGGCCGGTGAAGGGGGGGTGGGGGGTTGTTGTTAGTAATAGCCCTACTCCTCTCCCAAAAAACGTTATAATTTTACAATTTAGAAGTTTATAATTGTAAGGCTTTGTTTGTGTAAAAAAAATAATAACATACAAGACTTTTTAAGTTTTGGGTTTCGTTAATAAAAATACAGTATGTACTATTTAATAATCAATCCTGGCTTGCACCTGCTGGCGTGGCAATCTAATAAGTAATCCAATTTTTTTTAATTGTGACTAAGTTTAAATTGTAATACTGATTATTTTAAATTGTAAAATATGAATTATCTGATAAAAAAAGTTTTTACTTCTTAATATCAAAAAACTCATTTCTTGTCAAATACTTAATATTTTATAATTTTAAATAGTTAAATTTGTAAAATACTTTTCATTGTGAATATTTGGTGACAATATAAATTAGTAATGTCGCGGTATCGTTATTTTCTAATTACAAAAAAT